AATAATTTCCTAAATTACCCTTAAACGTAAATTAGGAAACTAATTTTTATTTTAGGTTATTTACTTTCAAATTTGGAACTAACTTCCAAATTAGAAAACCGATTTCTAAAATAAAAAAATGTTCATTTTAGGAAACTTTCATTTTAGGAAATTTTTCATTTTTGAAAACCTTTTTCAAAATAGGAAACTTTCATAATTAAAAACTTTTTTCAACATCTTTACTTTTATTTAATTATACGAATACTTAAACTTATGCGTGTGACTCAATAGGCTCCTAGACATGTTAATAATGTATCAAGAACAAAAGATACTTTTTAATCTCTTGATACATAAATTAAGATTGGCCTCTAGTAAGGCATCATAACTATCAAATTCTCCGTAGAAGGATTAATTAATCCGTACTTACCTTTCACAAGCATAGTTACCATATAATTTAGTCCTCATGTCAACTTATCATAGTGTGATCTCAAACTTGGTTATTATTCTTGTTTTATTGTGATCACATAAGTTTTTCTTCGATTCCCAAATGTCTTAGCACTTAGAGTAAAATAAATATGCTCTATTAGTATACTCCTACCGTGGTCACGAGATTTCTCGAGTAGACATTTATCAAAATACAATGTGATAACTCCTTTAGCTTATAAGGAATGACATATCCTATCTTAATCATTCACCTACTTCTATTATATTCTTGTTGTACCCAATAAATTACCTTCGTGCAACCTTTACTAGATCAATCAAAATGAGTGTCAAAATACATAAATCCCGTAATAAGATAACTTAGATGACTTCAAGTTTTAGGACCAGTTGTACCCATCTCGTATGAGATTCCCATAGAGTAAACCAAATGGGTTCTCATGATGAGTCAAGCTAGTGATATGTTCTCTAACATAAATCACTTAAGTGCTTACTTTGGCATCATCATGCCAATATGTGTGAGATCTCATACTTTTATCATATAGCATGATTATAACACTCATAAGTCTAACTACATATAGTTAACGTCTATTCTTGATTTGCTATGCCTTGGGACATCTAACGATATTATTTATGTACATTAGTGTTTATCTTACATCTTTCGATCAATCGGTAATGCAAATGAATATCGTATGGACTTTTATCTAATTATCTTTAATGAATAAATATAAATGATAAAAATTTAGTAGAAAGACTTGTTTTATTATAAATAATGTAATAATACAATAAGTCAAATCTATTCAAATAAGGTTATATCTTGGGCATCTACACTAATAGTCATGATTTTCAGTTATAGATAGTCATTCCATAGTTGTTGTTGCTAATCTATGTGTCACTATTGATATGTATTTATTTGGTATGTCAATACTTTTGTGATAAAATTTGTTTCTAACTTTACAAATTCTTGGTGATGCTAGTTTGAGTGGTGATTTCATAAATGATGCTAGAGCTAGCCATCAAAGGAGAAACCATGATTTTTACTTGGAAGAAGTTTTAAACCACCAAGACAGTTAGCAAGGAGCAACAAAATCAAGATTCCATGAAAGCCTTGATATTTTCACTCACTAAACAAGTATATAGAACATCATATAGTTAGTTTTGAAACATCGACTGAAACCTAACTTTTGATTATGTAAATGACAAGACCATGTCCTTATTTTATGTTAATAGTAGTGTGTTATTTACATTAATAAATGTTGGCTAAGCGTTGTAACTAGAAATAGGAACCATATAGTTCATTTTGTATTTTCAAGTTAAATGATATTAGTAGTAGGATTGTAAGGATTGGCTAATATAAGCCTTATGTTTATTCAATGAATGAAGGTTTTAATTCAATTAAGTGTCTTTTACTTCAATGTTATTATTTTTCATTTAACGAGTCCGTCTTGGTCTTAGTAATTTAAGAAAGTATTTTTTACAATTACACACAAATCATATAAAAGTAGATGAACCAATATTTGGTAAACATGAAATACAAAACCAATGCTAATTTTTCATTCCTTGCATGATCAAAATTACAGCAACAAGCACCTTTTTATTTGTTTAAAACATAAAAAGCGAAGCATATGATAGAACAAACCAAAAAACACACGAGCTATGTATACTCCTATCCCTATACGCCTCCAACACCGACTTTAATTCATTAATCAACTCGACCATCCTTTGAACTTCTTCCTTCAGCTCATGTATCTCATTTTTTAAAGCTTCAAGAACTCGGTAAATTTATTGGTTCACAAAAGTCCATAAACTCACATCTTTCACGGTAAAAATATATTTCATTAAACGTTTTATGGGTGATTACAAAGACAGACCTCCAACCCAAAATGAAAAAAACAAGTTCATTTTCTTTTATGGATTTAAAACAAAATAATAAAGTTTTTTTTTCTCTCAATATAACACACAAAAAATGGACTAGGTATGAAGGATATGAAGAAGGAAAGGATGGGTTTTTACTTTGGTTTGCTAACTGGAAAAGAAAGAAAGAAGGGTGAAGTGTTTTCATTATTTATTCTAGTGGATACACCGTCACGATATTTTTGTGTGTTTTGGAGGGGAAAATTAAAGGGTGAGAGAGGAGAGAGGAAAGGAGGGGAAATAAGTCCAAAGGTAATTCGATCAATTCACCATCACATACATGCCTATCACATATGTTCGAAACTTGATCAAATAGATTGACGAGACTTATTTACAAATAGAGATGGCAATGGAGCAAGGCGAGGATCGCCATCTCCATCCCCGCCCCATCGTAAAAAAAAAAAAAAAACCCATCCTCGCCTCGTGCCCCATTCCGGGCAAAAATTCGCTCCCCATCCCCGCCCCGACCGAAAAAAAAAAAAAAAAAAAACCCATCCCCGCTTCGTACTCCGTTCGAGGCAAAATTTCATGCCCCATAGCCGCCTCAAATGGGTTGGGGCGGGTGGGGCAAAGGCGAGGCGAGGTTGGATTGCCATCCTTATTTACAAATCAAAAAATAGTTACGAGTACTCAAATTAAAAAATAAAAATTAGTTTGGAGTACCAATCTAAGTGTCAATACATAATACGAGTACCATCGAACCAATTAGCACATGTAAATAAACTATCATTGCAAAAAGAGTGAGACCTTTTCATTCGAGCATCGGATTTTAGCTTCCACAATGAGGCTAAAACCCTAAAACATTGTTTTTTGACAAGGGATTTTCATATTTTAAGTTTGTCATTGTAAAGAAAGCATAACAACAAGTACATTTGCATTAAAAAAAAAAAGGTGAAAATTTTAAATGGTCATGGATTTTTCATATGATCAAATCATAACCATGCATAATGTGTGTTATGACGAGTGATATGGAATTTTCCGTTATGTTTTCATGGTTGAGATGGAACTCAATTTCTTGCCAAGATAAAACCCCGAGTCATGTTGAACATGCAAAGTGGTTAAAACTTAAAAGACTTGAAGAATGAAAACTATTAATCTATAAGAGAAAAAAAAATGAAGATAAAAACGAAGGATTTTGGAGTTGGGTAATGTGGCTTCGTTTACCTTACCTTTACGTGTGAGTTGATTTTTTGAGTAGTTAATTTAGGAGGATGAAATTTTGAAGAACACTCGGTGTTAGTGCTCTTTTGCTCGTAGGTATGAATTATTACGAGGCTCTACCGGTTTGAATTACCCGAGGAACCATACTCGTAGTGTTTTCGTATTTCAAGCCCGAATACGAAGCTTAGTTCATTTTAATGGGCTAACCCCAAACTTCTTTTCTCCATATTTATTGTCCTCTTTACTTTTTTTTTTTTTTTTTTCTAAGGGACAAGGCTAGCTAATTTTTAGGTCATTTTTCTCACAAATAATTTTACCTCTACAATCTAGGAAAAAGTGGCTAATTGCTCTAGGACTAAAGCATTCAATATAATTTTACGTTTCATTAGGGATGACAATAAATCAAATATAAAATAGGTATCCATTTTATACGACCTAATAAATACTTATTAAAAAAATTCAATGAGTATTAAAGTAGAGAAGATAAAAAATACATACTCGCTAATATGATTTGAGAATAAGGATATCTATTCCTTACTCTATTAATACCCACTAATTTACTTTCTTTTTTTCCAAACATGTAAAGATCCAATTGTATAAACTTTAAAAATTAAAAATCAAAATATTTTTTTCAAAAGCTTTAAGGATAAAAAAAAAACTTATAAAAATGACCAAAATGAAAAAAAAATAATTAAGGATCAAATTTTAAAAAAAATTACAAGGATCGAAATGAAATAATTTTTACTAATTATTTTTTATGGATATTAAATAAGTATTAAATTGACGGATAAACTAATGTGAATTAAGTATGAGCCCGATAAAGATTTATATAATGATTTTTTAATAGATAATGAGTAACAATTTTTTTATAAAAAAATATAAAAAATTAAATTTATAGGCTGAATAACCACTTATTATCATCCCCATTTTTTCATATTAAGATTTGAATTCAAGTGGTCAAGAAGGAAGCACTAGTTTATGACCGAAACTATGAAGCTTCTTCATTTTTCCCCCTATATATATGACAAATATTTTGAATTCTTCCACATAAAAGAAAATAAAATAAAGACCATTTTCACTATTTTCATCTAACACGAATACATGGAAGGGTTTGATTGGAGATGGTGATTCGCATAATCGATAGAGTTACTATCCTAATATTTTCAATTTATAAAAATTGAATTGGTTTTCTTTGTTTTTCAGTTGCATTTATTTAAAAAACCGAGAATCAATCAATAGTTAAATTTAAAATAAATAGAAAGGAAAATAAGTGACAATATTTTTTTCTGTTTATATTTTTGTTTTTATTAAAAAAAGAAGTTGAAACTTGAGATCTCTTGGGTTTTCCTTGTATTTTGAAAAAAGAAAAAGAAATAAATGAATGAAATGGTGGAAAATTAGTTTTCTTTTCTTTGAAAATGAGAAGAAAATGGAAGTAAGAAAAGGACAGATATAAACTACTCTCATATCATTAGCCTTAACCCATATTTATGAAGGGCCGAACCCAACTACAGCAAAGTGATACCGACTTCAACAAGCAGAGCCAGAGCCTTGAAAGCGCAACCCTTGAAAACCGAGATAAAAACTCGACTGCACAAGTTAATTAGATCATCCCGCACCCCACAGCAAAGTGTCAAGAATCATGCCAGAAAGTTCATACCTCCTTAATCTCATAAACATGCTAAATTTCTATGGGCCAATTCTAACACAAAATTCTAACACAAAAGATTTCAAAATAAATAAATAAACAGAACTTCAAGAAGAGGGAAAGAACAGCTAGAGATAATTGAATCCTCCATTTTATTTTATTTTTAACGGATTTAAAATCAGTCTTTTATCCCTTTTTTTTTTTTTTTTTAAAGTTGAACCAAAGATTCCCGCAATTCAACACCCTCCCCCTCCCCCGCGCGACCACACACACACACACACAACCCCCGAGCTGCGTCCAAGCCACTACATGGTTATCTCTTTCAAGCACAAAGTGCCAAATAATGGAGCGAATTATAAATATTCTTTTTAATTTTAAAAAATAAATTAATTAATTGTTTTTTTAAAAAAATTAATTATATATATCATCAATCCTTTCCATTTTAAAATTTATTTTATTTTTTAAAGAAATTTTTATTTTTATTTTTATTTTTTAAGAAATAAATGAAAAAATTATAGAGACAGCTTATAAGATAAAATATTATTAAAATTGATTAAAACATTATAGTTAGTTTTATTTAAAAATTAAACTAATTTATTTATTTCCCAAACTAAAAGGACTAATTTATAATTTACTCCAAAAACGCATTAATCTAAATATAAAGGCATGTCAATAGAATCAAATTAGTTTACATTTTAGCCCTAAAAAAAAAAACTTTTTTTCCAATAATTTACACTCGTTGTATTAGAAACATGTAGCTAATAAAAACTCATCATCGTTCATAAATAACACCATCTCGTCATTTCCACCTACTGAGTCAAACCTCAATGGGCTCAATAAAGGAGCTCGTTCCACTTCTTCATACGCTATGGTTTCCAGATCATCCAAACCCAACCAAACTGAATTATCGGGTTCTTCACCCGACTCGCTATCTTCAAACCCCACCCTCGTTTTTTCAAAACCAATTGCAGCTTTAGCAGCTGCCAATTGGATGTCTTTCCTAGAACAAGACTCGGGGCGGGGAAGTGACCCGACTGAGTCAGGGAAGTTGAGACTCGCAGAGTTGCCTTTTAAAAAGAAAGCAGCCGAGTCATAGGCCCGGGCAGCCATCTCTGGTGACCCAAATGACCCGAGCCATACTCGAGCCTTCTTACCGGGTAACCGAATTTCAGACACATACCGGCCCCAGCTCCGTTTTCTCACTCCATGAAAGAGGGTATCAGGTTGACGAGTCTTCTTCTTGGAGCTCCGTTTAGATGTGGATTCGGATTCGAGTGGGTTTGTTTTCAATTCAGGAGTATCTTGAATTACAGACATTTGTTTCTTTTCTTTGTATGATTCAGCCTGTTGTTTTCTTTCGGTCACTAAAGCAGTAGCTTTTCTGGTTGTAGGTTGCAGTTATTTCGAGGAAAGAGTGATAGAGAACTTGGAAGAAGAAGTAGTAAGCATGGGTTTTCTTGACTGAGAGAGAAATGAGATTATATAAGGGGGCAGTCTGCGTGCGGAAGAAAGTGAAGCTAGCTGGCAAGTTTTGTTACTAGAGGATTTGAGATTAATAATATACAGATAACTACATGCTACGTTCCATCTAAAAGTTGCAATGACGAAAATAACCTACTTTTACAAGAAAAAATACGAGAAGGGAAAAAAATATGAAAAACTTTTTTTTTAAATGACATTTTATAATTAAAAAAAAAAACCATTTAAAACAAATCATAAATAATTGCATTCTATGTTAATATGATAATAATAGATTGAAAATTTTTCTTTTGCAAATGCTCGATAACTCATTGTATTTCTATACTCTAGTTACCAATTATTTTATGAAAATCACATTTTTAAAAAAATAACATTTCACACAGTTTTAGAGTAAGAATATTAAAAAAAAAACATAAATGATTCTGATCCTCGTCAGCATTTCTATACAAAATGCAGCAAACATTGATAATTTTTTGTTCAAATCTGCATATTTTTAATGGATAAATAGTTCAAAAACAAAAAAGATGTTTATCTACATCAAAATATTTAGTTAATAAAAATAAAAATAGTGTTTATGTATATCAAGTTTATATTTAGTTAAGATTTCGTTAATAGACTCTACTGCTTCATGATTTGATCAGAAAATTTAAATTAAACTATTTGCAACAATATCATAATATATATAGATATCTATATATATTATGATATTGTTGCAAATAGTTTAATTTAAATTTTCTGATCAAAGCAAAATTGAATAATATAGATTTAGTCACCAAACATATTAAGTGAAATGAAACTAAAGTTTGAGATAGAGCTTTATTTTGTATAATTTTTACGAGTTAGTTGCCCACGTCACGTTGTAGGTGAGATTGAATAGGTAAAATTATTTAATTTTATATATTTTTCTTAAATTTTGTGGTTAAAAAAACTCCATTTGTTCTTCCCGGTGCATTAATTTTTAAATAAAAAATTTACAATAATGTAAATAGAAATTTTAATTTAAAAGTTAAAATGCTATAATAATATTTTTAAAAGATTGCATCGAAAATAAAGCAACAATTGATTTAAAAGCTTTGTAAAAATTTTAAAAAAAAATAATATTTATGGGAAGATTATTTTTTTGAAAGCATGTACATTTGATATATATATATATATTAACAAAATAATCAATAATATTAGTGTAAAAAGATCTATTTGAATAATTGAATGGTTTTATATTAAAAAAATTAATTTTAGAACATAAAAATAATAAATAACAAATAATTAGTGTTATATGTGAAGATATGTAGCTAATTTCTAACAAAACAAACGATTTGAATATATATATCTACACACACACACACACACACACACATTATGGTCATACTCAATAGATCAAGAGTTCTTAGCATAAACAAAAAACATTTAAAAAAATTAAAAATCTAAGTTATAAGGAATATATAAAAGTCAATTATATATATATATATATATATATATATATATATATGTGTGTGTGTGTGTGTGTGTGTGTGTGTGTGTGTGTGTGTGTGTGTGTGTGTGTGTGTGTGCACGCTTGCTATTATTATTTAAAAATCATAAGAATCCATCATATGAATGATAATAATATATTAAAAATAATAATAATATAATAATGCTCTAAAATGTTATTCCAAAATCCATATATATAAACTATATTTATTAATAAAAAATTAAAAAAATAATTTGATAAGAATTTTCATAAGAAATGATAAAGTGAAGAAATAAATTTTAAATAATAAAATTAATATAATCGATATACATGTTCAAAAATTTTATAATAAAATTCCATGATAATAATAATAAAAAAAAAATCACGATTGATCTTTTATAATTTTCATATTCAATTCCATGATAATAATAATAATTAAAAAAAAAAAAAACCTAAGCTAGGGCCACGCACTTGGGCCAACTTGTGCGAGCTAGAATGCTAGGGCATCGTTGCTTGGGCTCGAGAGGTTGACTAGCTCACACTAAAAGAAAGAACAAAAACATGCAACTTCGGCAAACTCATGTTCATTTAAAGCTTAGTTGAAAATCACGAGTCTATATTTAGACATCTAAAAACTCAATTATGACATTATTCCCTTCCTTAAAAATTATTTTAATGCATACTAAGAAAAAAATCAAATTGAGAATTTTTTTTTTTTGAAACAAAAACATGCAACTTCGGGCAAACTCAAGTTCATTTAAAGCTTAGTTGAAAATCACGAGTCTACATTTAGACTTCTAAAAACTCAATTCGACATTATTCCCTCCCTTAAAAATTATTTTAATGCATACTAAGGAAAAAATCAAATTGAGAATATATATATATATATTTGCATCAATCTATCTTCTCCAATCATTTGATTACTTGAATATATATAAAATCTTCTCTCCGAGCTAAACAAATTAAATAAAATATTATCTACAAATGTGAAGGGATTAAGCTGAGTTGACATTATCTCTCTCTCTTCCTTTTGTATCTTCTTTTCTTCTTTTTCTCTACACTCGGAGACCAAAGAGTATATCACAAAAAAAATTATAGATTAAAATAATAACTATAAAAATATCATAGATCAAAATATAATAATTTATATAATTTGAATATAATTACAATGAATCCAAGATGAATGAACACTTGGCAATAATGATGGACGATCGAAGGGTCGAAAGGAGTAAATAATAAAGATAAATGTGAATGAATAGTAATTATGAATAACAAACCCTTAAGTTATTTTAGTTTTTCTTACAATTTTAGGATTTGCGAGAGTAAAATTGAAAACCAAAAATCTCCACCCTCGACCCAAATTTATTGAGGGTGCAACCATAAGTACGATGAGAAAGTTGAATATGATTGGAGAAGGGTAAAATAGTAATTTGGAAAGTTTGATGTTTTAGTTTGATGATGTAAGAGTATGGATTGGATTGCGATCAGCAAGGGAACGCGTTAAACCAGCTGTATACAGAGGTAAAGAAAGATAGCATCAACAAAAAGCAAGCAAAGACAAAGATACGAGAAATGACATAGAGATGCATCATCATTTTTAAGAATTCAAACCGTGTTGTGTGTTGGCTTGAATAGTTGACTCGCCTCTCTTCTTCTTGTAGCAACAGATCGCAGAGCGGGCACACTGTTTTCAAGGACACCAGGACACCCACCAATTTTTGAAAGTTTGTGCATAGGAACCAAATGTTTGAAAGTTTGTGCATATGGACCAAATGTTTGTGATTTACGAGGTGCAATTGTCTCATATCTTACTTAAATGTAAATGCATTACGTGTGTGTTATAACTGCAATGCGTGTTGCTCTTTCACTCAATAATTATATATTATATCTATCTCTTTCATTCATCAAATGTATAATACTTTGCAAATGTATACTCATTGTGTGTTTTTTTATTAAAAAATTATTCATATATTTATGTATCTTATAGTTTATATGCAGTTAATTATAACTTAAGGCGTATTTGATAATCTATTTAAATAGTTTAAAAAATTAAACTATAGTATTTAATATAAAAAATTTATTTGATAATTTAAATAATCTCATATTAAAAATTTATATTAAGTCAAAATGTACTTAATTAGATAAGTTAAAATTTTTAACTTAAAACTTTTTAGTAACATATTCAATTGAAATATTTTTAAACTTTTTAAATATGATTATATAGATTCATATATTCTTATAACTTTAGTTATACAAACTAATTGAAAAACGATCTCTATTATCTTTATTGTTGAAACAGAGAAGAACTTCTCCATTATCGATGCTTCTATCTCATCATTGTCAACAAATTATTACGAATTTGAGATGTGAAGGTCTAATCCCATAACACAGACCAGTTCCTCCAAATTCCAAAATGTAATGTTTTCTATTTCATTCTCTTTGTCTCTTTACTTTTAGGGTTTCTTTCTCAAATCAATATATAATATATAATGATATGATCCCAATTATTCTTGAATAATTAAGCTATATTGAATTTTAAATATGTTAATATATACCAAAATTTGCATCCTGTATTGTTGAGTTTGGTTTCAGAATTACGATATTTCATGGTTAATGGATTCCACCTAACCTCGGAAACCAGCATATCTAAACATCCAAAACTCATCTCCAACCACAAATCTCTATAATAAAATATGTACGATTCGGTGTGGAGGTGCTTCATCTCGCTTGACAAATTAGTCAGTACCAAGATTAGTCATGAGATTGTTCTTATGGGATGACCATACCTACAAACCCCATCATTCATTCAACCTTCAGTATAAGCTCCGATCCCCATGGTTTTCCATTAAAAAGAGAGCAAAAGAAGAAACTATTTAGAGGAAAACAAACTCTCGTTGAAATAAACTTCCTCTCACCCCTGATGGGTGAAAGGAAAGGAGTGAGGAGCTGTTATTCAGAGGAAAACAAAATCTCGTTGAAATAAATTCCTCTCACCCCTGATGGGTGAAAGGAAAGGAGTGAGGAGCTGCCTCCAAAGGAGGAAGGACAAGCATTTTAAAACCCATGTGTATTGCTTCTATTCTAGGCTATATGCTTCTTCCTATGTAAAGAAGTTGCAACTGATGTTGAATAGATGAGTCAGTATGCGTGCTTCCTCACCAATACAAAGTGTCCGATCCACTTGTATTTTCTTTTTGGCAATGCAAAGATTTAATCTAAATTATTTTAAATTCTAGTTTCCTTATTACCTATTGTTTGCTTGAACTTTCTGAGATTGGAGTATTCAGCGGAACCGCCCATAATGTATTTCATATATATGGTGGATAAGGTGAGATACAATGGCAGTGGTGAATAAATGCTTAAATGCTTCATATACTCTTTCCTTCTTCACTTAAATCAAGCCTATTAGCATGGCCCCTTTTCTAGTTCAAATATATCCATAATTCAAACAAAAGGTATAATTAAACTCACTAGTCACTCCAAGATTGTTAATGTGCTTGCTTGAATGAATTTTACGTCTTGTTGAAATCATATAAAATTTGTGAAAGTCCCTTCCCATAACTCTGCTTTAGCGGATGAACAATGCTCCAAATCAGCCACGAACCCGTGAAGCCACTTCCCACTGCAATCCTGAATCAGACCACCAGCACTCGCTGTTATCGAATTTTTCTTACTTGCCCCATCTCTAGTAATTTTAATCCAAACCTCCAAAGGTGTTATCCACCTAACCGACCATTCTGTTTTGCCACCAAGAATAGAAGAGTTAGGGTGGCACTTGGGTAATGTGTTCTTAGCTCACTCACTAAGAATGGGGCTAGTCCTCTATCCATTGCACACAAATAAGTGTGGTTCAAGGATGTGAGGTTGAATCTACATCTCTAACTACCTTGATTCCTAAGGTGACAGTGAAGCATACCTTCTACCATTCATGACCGAGTATGAATAAAAATGAGTCTTGAATGTATTTAGGGACAGAGACCAACTATTATGCTATCAAAGGTCATAGATTTGATAATTGATCTATTGATATGTTATCCACCTCTCTTCTATGGACTGGCACTTGGGTATTTGCTTGTCTTATTGCTGTCCTTCCACTTACTGTCTTTTCCTTTTCAATTGTTTGATTAGTCCATGTCACTTAATTACCCTTCAAAGTTAATTTACTCACCCTGGTTTCTTTATTTTTTTTCCTGGATAAAGTCTTATTCTTATTCTTTTTTACTTTTAAGGCATTCTCCTTAGTTCAAACGTCAAATTTGGTTGCTTTTATGTTTTTAGGACCTTAGTTTGATTGTTTTTTAAAACGTGATAGGATGGATTCTTTTTTTTTTTTTTTTTTTTTATAATTTTGAGTTCTAAGATTGCGGTAATGTGGCTTTTGGTGTAATCATTATATTATTTATAAGAAAGGCCTGTGAAGAGAGTGCTAGAGCCAATTGGAAAGACCCCAAAATAGTAAAAAAAATTTGAATACATGCATTGAACAAGTGAGTATTCTTGAAAAAAATGGAGGGAGCTTAAAAAAAGAATCATAGAAAAATATAGTTAAAGCATTCAAGGAAAAGAAATGCATCAAGTTTTCTCAAAAACAACTAAAGAATGAGTAGATGTATTTGAAAAAGAAGTATATAGTATGGTCAAAACTAATAGATAAAAGTGGACATGGTTATGATTAAGTTACTAATACTATCAATTGGGCTACACAACGAGTGGGACGATTATGAAAAGGTATTATTTTTTTTATACATTTTATTTCCCAACGAGCTTAAAACAATTAATCATATTATTGATTTGATACATTTATGTAACAAAATAATAATGATGCAAAATAATTTTGTTATGTTAGTTTGTAATTTTCGGATGAGATGAAATCATTATTTGATGGCATTTCAACCACTCGGAAAAGAAAGTTGAGATCCTTCTAAAGACACAATACCTATAAATAGAGTTGCTTCTTCAAATTCTTCTAAAGAATCCATGCGAGTAAATGGAGTTGGTTCTTCAATGCCAACTAAACCAATTGGAACAAATTTTGAAGAATTTATGGATTTGGAGTGTAACTCCTATAATATATATATATATTGAGATGTGGGTGTAATTTTTATAATATGTTAATATTTTTGTGGTTTTAATATTTGATGTTCATATTAGAATTGCCACCTAAGCTTCTAATTTCTTCTACTCCTTTACACCTTTACACCTCATAAACTTAGATTAGGACATTTGTTAAATTCATTAATGAGGGAAGAAAAAAAAATTAAAGCAAAGCTAAGATGAATGGCCGGCCACTTCTATCAAGGAAAAAAAATTCAGCTCACCAAAAGAAAAAGAAGGTCAAACAAGAAGAAGGAAAAAGGAAGAAGAAAAGAGAAAGAATGAAGGAAAAGAGAAGAAAAACCAAGAGATTTTCTAGGAAACTTAAACCAAGTAAGTAGGAATTTATTTTACACCGCAAATTTGAATTCTATGTGTTTAATTTATGTGAATTATTTGAGTTGATGACTATGCTTCCATGAGTTTTTTATATGGATGTTGTGAGTTTTGATAGCTTGATATGAATTTATTAGTTTATATTGAGTATTTGATGATTTATTCATATGTTTACTCGTTAATTTTGATAAAGCTTTGTTTTATAGCTAAATATTAGTTATTGGGTTTGGTTGGTGAATTGATGTGCTTGGATGGAATTTATTTGGAATGAATAATTGTTGATGTGGATATGGGAGGAATATATTTGATATCGTAAATGGTGGGTTGGTATAGTAAGAATTAATGGGATTATTAATCATATGATGAGGGATTACTTATTAATCATATGATGAGAAGATATTTATTAAAAGGGTTGATGGGTATTAATAGCATAGAAGAACAAACTTTGGTGGATAGAATAATTGTAGAGAATAATATAGAAGCATATTAATTATTGGAGGTTATTAATTATTAAGTGTTATGAATTAAATTGAGGTGAATAATTGGTGTGGATAATTTTGATATTAACTAGTGAATATGGATTAATTTATTAAATAGGTGAGTATATATATATATATATATATTGGGAGTAAATAATTTGATTGAATAACGTGTTAGTAGTGGATTAATTATATTAAAGATGAATCTATCTTATATATGTGGTTACATTAATAATTAAATGGGGGTATTTATTAATTAATATGTTGTATAATAAATAAATTCATAATAAGCTATAGGATGGGGTGTGATTAAATATTATGTGTGTGTGTGTGTGTGTATATATTTATTTATGTATATTAATGGGGTAGGGTGAATTATATTAAAATATTAATTATATTAATTAATTAATTATATTTTTTGGTAATTTATTTTCTTAAATAAATATTTATGTGGGATATATGAGGTATGTATTTATTCCTATATGTGGGAAGAATTTGGTACCCATGACTTGACGGATATGGTAAATGAAACATCATTATGCATTATGGTTATATTGAAAAGTCATATGGTTGAGGACCAATAGGTTTGGTCACCGAAACTAGTTTAAATGGGTATTAACGATGAAACCGTGTGTATGTTCCATTACTTAGTTACACCGATCAACGATGGAAAATTTTGCTAACCGTGTGCTACAATGATGAAAAATTCTGTTATTAGCGGTAGGTGATAAAGCAATCACCGAGAGATGAAAATAGAGTAGACTTGCTAATAACTAGGATACCCGAACTAAAATTAGTAGACGAATTTAAGGTAATAATAAATCATTGCATAGCACATGCATCATCCTACTTACCGAGCTTTGGCTCATATTGTTGTCATTATCTCGTGGTATAACATGAAGGACAAAGATGGTTTTATCAAGGAGGTTATCGGCTCTCATTAAAAAGGGCTCATGTGTTACCCGAGAGTATAGGAATCTTTGAAGGGTTATAGATAAGTAATGTTATGTCTATTGGTTAGTAATCGACATCGTGAGTATTTTATAATTCCCATGACTTGATTTAGTAATACCACGTAACTTTATTGTATGTATTCCATAATTTAAATATTTTATTGATTTATAATCGAGTATTATAGGAATTAGTTGGGATTTTAGTCTTAATAATGTAACGAACCTAGTAACTTCTATTTAAGAAATAGTAGGGAGTTAAGGGCGTTACAAGGTGGTATCGAGCTAAGTTTAGTTAACCAAATAGAGTCTTAAGTGTCACATGAGCTTGAGGACCGGTGCGGCTACTTGATAAGTAAGTTTCAATTCTTCGTTTCTAGTGAATGTGTGTTTATTGTGTGTTTTTATGTTAGTATATAGCTATTTCTTAGAGACGTTGTTGATTATAAATATTATCGTGGTAGATGTCGTACATATGTTGCATTCCTCGAGCTCGTTAGGACATGCCGACAGAGGGTCATCGTAACCACTTACTCGGGCTAAACTAAGCAACCTTACTATGACACCGGACCAAGATATGGTGATGCATGTTATTAGAGTGCACGATTTGATCTAGCGAATAGCGTTTGCCAATGCCTCTTTCAATTGGTATCGTAGTGTGGATTATATGAGGACGACATTGCATCGAAAGCTTTTACCGCGGGATTAGTAATTATTAGATGAGGTTTGAGAGAATAAGGTGGACCACAATTCTTGCCGAGATCCGATTCGAGCCTTTTACCGACGTAGGGTAGGTGGACCCTCACTAGATTGATGTATGACTTGGGCCTACCTATATGTCTCGTTCGTGGGATAGTAAACTCCACATCGGTTAATAGCATTGATTGATAGAGAGTAGAGTATTCCTTTCGTCGTCGAGTACGATATTTCAATCCAATGCATCGATTTATTACTAGGGAATATATACCATACGATGTAACATCTTTTATGCACCTTTTGATGTAAATGGAAGTGTCTTTTGATTGTAGGTATGACATGAAAACCTTTAGATGTAAATGTTTTTGTTCATATAAGTGTCTGTTTTGTATGTTATGCTTGAAAAAAAAGTTACATGTATATGGATGCATTGTATAGTGTGTCGTATGCAATAAGGAAAGGTTTTCGATATTGAGACTAACTTGAACGTGATATGATGTGTGCAAAGTCAAATCATGCCGTCGAAAAGGAATCTTGTGTAAGTAGAGGGAGAAGGGACCTCCGGTAATAATAATGGGAATCAATAAGAAGCCTTAAATCATATGATGGAGATGATGTAGCAACAATAACAAGCGTTGCAATAATAACAAGAAGCCCATGTGGAGCGGATGAAGCGAGCTCTTAGCTATGCAACATCAACCTCCCCTCGGCATTGAAATGATGCGGTTGAGAGATTTCAAAAAATGAATCCCTAGGAGTTCGTTGGGGGTGTTAATCTAATAATAGCCGAGGAATGAATCCTTAAATACGATATTTGAGTACCTACAATTCATCAATAATGAGTGAGTTTTGTACGTTATTTTTATGCTAACTAGAGACGTCCACACATGGTGAGAGAGTGCACGGTTAACGATAGACGTGCCTACTTTAACTCGGGTAGGGTTCAAAGTGGTCTTCTATAATAAATACTTCATCGCAGATGTAAGGGCTAGGAAAACCTAGGAGTTCTTAGAATTTTGAAACATAATGGAATATCAATGGGTGAATATGTATAGAGGTTCGAACAAAGATGTAGATTTGTCCCATTCATTACGATAGATGAAAATTTAAAAAAGAATCGATTCTTAATT